AAAAAAAAAAAAAAAAGAAAAGAAAAGAACTTTCTTCTACATTAGTTTATGGAAGAAAGTGGTGGCAGCATTCAGGTTCTTTAAATGTCTGTAGCACAAAACTGACAGTGATCCCTTTCTCATCAGTTTGGTGTAGCAGTGGTAATCACCAACCAGGTGGTAGCCCAGGTGGATGGAGCAGCCATGTTTGCTGCAGATCCCAAAAAACCTATTGGAGGAAACATCATCGCCCATGCATCAACAACCAGGTAATGTGATAGGATAGATGCTTTTTGGAATGTCATATTAACTGTGAAATAGATGTGAAGATACATTTCCATTTGAGCCCTGTTAAAGCTACTGTTGTGTAATTAGACACTTAGAACCTCCTGCTAAATCTAATTGTCATGCTCTGGTTGGGATAGGTGTTTGCTTTCAGTTCACAAAGGAATTGAAAACTCACAAGTATGGAAGAATAAATATGAATAATTAATGTGCTTCTCCCTGGTTATTAAAGAAAAATGTTTGTTTCAATATAGACAATCCACTCAGGGAGCAGGGCAGAAATGGATTCTTCTAGTTTGGAAGTACAATAAGGAATACAGTACAGAAATATCCTCAGGTTCCTTCTAAGGCAGTGGTTCTCAACCTTCCTAATGCCGCGACCCTTTAATACAGTTCCTCATGTTGTGGTGACCCCCAACCATAAAATTATTTTCATTGCTACTATTATGAATTGTAATGTAAATATCTGATATTCAGGATGTATCTAGGTGACCACAGGGGTCATTCGACCCCCAAAGGGGTTGCGACCCAGAGGTTGAGAACTACTGTTCTAAGAAGAAGCATATACAGGCAGTCTCCAGAATACCAGTGAGATAGATTCTATAGCCGGGAGTGGTGGCTCATGCCTGTAATCCTAGCACTCTGGGAGGCTGAGGCAAGTGGGTTGCCTGAGCTCAGGAGTTTGAGACCAGCCTGAGCAACAGCAAGATCCCATCTCTAAAAATTAGCCAGGCATTGTTGCAAGCACCTCTAGTCCCAGCTACTTAGGAGGTTGAGGCAAAAGAATCATTTGAACCTTCTTAAGAGTTTAAGGTTGCTGTGAGCTATGGGGCCAGGGCACTCTGCAGATGGCAACAAAGTAAAACTCTGTCTCAAAAAATAAAAAAGAGATTCTATAGGTTTGTTCTTTTTTTTTTTTTTTTTTGAGACAGAGCCTCAAGCTATCCCCCTGGGTAGAGTGCCATGGCATTACAGCTCACAGCAACCTCCAACTCCTGGGCTCAAGCGAGTCTCCTACCTCCGCCTCCCAAGTAGCTGGGACCACAGGCGCCCGCCACAATGCCCGGCTATTTTTTGGTTGCAGCCGTCATTGTTGTTTGGCGGGTCTGGGCTGGGGAGTTGAACCCGCCACCTTAGGTGTACGTGGCTGGCGCCTTAGCTGGTTGAGCTATAGGCGCCGAGCCTATAGGTTTGTTCTTAAGTTGAATTTGTATGTAAATTGAAACATACAACTTACCTGTCACCTGTAATAGCCTCCTTTGATAAGTGTGAGTCATATGTCAGTTGGATATTTGTAACTTGGAGACTTACTATAATAGACTCCATTTGTAAGTGCTGGTTCTACATGAGTCAGATTTTTATAACTTGGGGACTGCCTGTATGTCTAAAAAATTATTAGCTCTATCATAAAGTCAGGAATGGAATTGTTTAATTTTAATAACTTGAGGCTTTATGTCTCTGGGTCAGACTGTACCTGAGGAAAGGAAGAGGGGAAACCAGAATCTGCAAAATCTACGACTCTCCTTGTCTTCCTGAAGCTGAAGCTATGTTTGCCATAAATGCAGATGGAGTGGGAGATGCCAAAGACTGAATCACTGGTTTTTCCCTTGTGATTACCTTAAGCTCTGCATCCTAATGGAGAGGACTATTCTCTGGGGTTCTTCACAGACCTCTTCCTGTTGTGGCTGCCAGGAAAAACAGCTATTGTATCAGCTTCTCTAATGGTATGAACAGGACACAGGTCAGTAGTCATAAACTGATCTGAAATGTTTATTCCTTCTGGAGTGCATTAATGGCTGATTTCTTTGGATTTGGAGGAGAGATGTGAAATACCTTTGACATAGTGCCTTGAGATTGACTCAGATCTAATAGCTGTCTGCTGGAAATCTTATCTCTCTGAGAGAACTAAAGCTGGGGAGACCTGCCCCTTCTCTATACCTGAGGTTCATATGTAGCAAAGGGAATGGGTGTCTGCACAAGTTCTCTTTCTCTGTCAATAAAACTCTCCCATCAATCAGAAACAGGTTTTTAACTTGTATGTTTGAATGCTTGCATGTAAGAATTTGTTTTGGGTTAAAGAGTCTTGCTCAATATCTGCTAAGCCATCAGCCCTTCACCATCTACTTGCTTGGTCTTTTACTGCTAACTCTAACTTAAGATAATTCTGGAATCTTAGGTATTTCACAGGCTGAGTAAGAGATTGAGTTTTAGGGTGGTAATAAAGTAATTATTTGTAGAGAATGTGTTGTTTATAGTAGTTATTCTAGTGCAAACTGAATAGTTCAAGATAAGGTCTCCATGATGTCTTTTTTTTTTTTTAATTGAGACAGGGTCCCACCCTATGCCCCCTGAGCAGAGTGCAGTGGCTTGGTAGCTCACTGCAACCTCAGACTCCGGCTTGTGGGCATCCTGCTGCCTCAGTCTTTGGAAGCCACTGGGATTACAGTGCTAACCCCGGTCCCCTGCTTGTTTTTTCCATTTTTTTCATGAGTTGGGGTCTCACTCTTGCTCAGGCGAGTCTCGAACTCCTGAGCTCAAGCGATTCTCCCTCTTCAGCCGCCCACAGGCGTGAGTCACTGTGCCCGGCTCCATGATGTCTTTTTGATACTGGATGGGGTGATTGGTTTCTATTGTTTTAAGACAGTGGTTCTCAACCTTTCTAATGCTGCGACCCTTTAATATAGTTCCTGTAGAACTATACTGAGTTAGATTGAGAACCGCTGTTTTAAGATCTGAAAACAGAAAGGTAAGTCCAACATTCAGATGATGATGCTTATTTGTCCTTCAACTGAATGGAAAGTGTTATAAAACAGATACACCTTGGCTTTCCTGTGGCCTTTGTTTTTATTCCATAAATCTCATGTTGTAGAGGTCTGGTACTTGCCAGCATTGTTTTACTTCAGCAGTTTGAAATACTTTTCAAATTTCTGCTTGGGATAGGTTTTACCCAGCTCTTCAAATTTCAAAGGCTCTTTCACTTAGTAATGAAAATATCTGCTGCTTTAAAAAAGAGTAATGAAAAGATTTTAAGAAAAGAAAATATCTCCGCTCGGCGCCTATAGCTCAACCGGCTAAGGCGCCAGCCACGTACACCTAAGGTGGCGGGTTCGAATCCCCAGCCCGGACCCGCC